CGCGGCAGACATTAGAATGTTAACAATACCCGGTTTCTTCATTGAACTGCAACTGGGAATTCGTGAATGAATCTTAGTTGCACGGGTTGTTGGTTGCGTGTGCCGTGAAGACATCTTTGTTATTTATTGTTTAACTAGTGATCTGGGCCGGCTTTGCAACTTTGCACGATCTGAATAGTAGAATACTAGAGGTATTTGGCGTAAGTTCGAAATTGCTCTATCAATTGGTGAATTCATACGTTTTAAGAGAATTACAGTTACCGACTAGAGGTCGTTAAACTGTTTTTTTTAAAACGTTACATGTGATGTAGGCGATTATTTATGTGATGCAACCAATTTATTTTTTCTACAGTAGTGCAGGGTTTTACTCCCAGTTCGGGAAATAAGTTTTAATGAAAATGTTTATGACTTATTCCTCACTTTTTGACAAAGATATATGAAATCGTATCTATCTACATTATTATGATTATAGGAATTGCTTAGATGTTACTCCTGGATATACCCGCTCTGTACGACCACAACTGGACGTTGGGATCGCCAACACTCGGACCATTGCGCATGTGCAATGTGTGTATTCTACTAAGCCTAGGCAAAGTCAAGTTTTAATTATCTACCTTATTTTTTATATCTAGAGTTTTTATAAGAAAATGACTGTCTATTATGGGGTCTGTTGTGAAACACTGGTAGTTATCGATTAGTAGGGCTACAATTGTTATAGTTTTACTCACTTTTTTGGCTAAACAATCGTGACATTATGACTGAGCTGAATTGTATTACCTACTAGGTAACTCAAAACTAAACTACCAAAGCATTCTTTCAAAATATTTAGCAACACATTTTATACATAACTAAAACGCAATGCCTAACTATAATCAATAACAGTCATTGAATTTACAACTTTTAAACTTAAGAAATAGAGTGAGTTTCAGTTTGCTGGCAGACCATGTCACAAGTGGTATCGCCTGCCACATATTTAGATGTCAGAATTGTGTGGTTGGTATCTGCACATGTGATTAAATATCATACCTCTATACATCGTCAGGGGGGGGGGGTCATCTATGACCAACGTTGGCGGAGGAATTGCTTTCAACAGTTTTCTATTGGCAAACAAAACTTTAATAACATCCTGTGACTGTCCACTCCTCCTCCTCCTCTAAATACACCGGGTGGACATAGCCTTTCATCAAGCCAATCGCACAACTGAGAGTGTAGTCCAGGACATTAAACTGTTAAACACCAAGCGGTCACCGGTGACCGCAACCTATTGTTCTATAATTGTGTCTATAATGACTGTACTCGACGAGTTAAAGTATGTATAATTATAACTTTTTATAAAAATACTAGCTTTTACCCGCGGCTTCGCTCGCGTCACATAAGGATAAAAGGTAGCCTATGTGACCAATACACACAGCGCCATCTATACCAATATTTTTGTTTTCCCTCGGGAATATCATCTTTTTTCGGGATAAAAAGTACCCTATTATTTAATCCAGACTTCTAACTTTACGTCTGCAAAAATTCAAAGCAATCTGTTTAGTTACGGCGTGAAAGCGGAACAAACAAACAAACTCACTTTCCAATTTATAATATTAGTAAGGATAAAGTCTTTTGACTCAAAGTGGATTTTATTATGACTGCCGATTTACCAGCGGCCAGCAGTACCCTAAAGATATTACAAATGTTCATATCACAAACAGAAATGAAAGTAACGACCACTGTGAACATTAAACAATAACAAACAAAAAGTATATTAAGTAATTATTATCAGGTATTAAGATGGTAGATACTTGCTAATACTTTATTTATTCATGTTAACAGTAGTATAATGTACTGTAACAGTGCAGTAGCTGTGATTTTATTGAAGTAAATTACCGGGTTAGTTTCTAATAGTTTATTTATGTGTTTGTGAAAGTTAAAGGGCTGTATATGTACATATGTTTGTAGGGTAAGTGTTATCTATCCGTATCTATCACGGTAAAAATACGGCAAAAAATTACGTTTTTGTTGTATGGGAATTGTTCCTAGTCGTTCTCTTCATTACTGGACGCTTACTCTTGAAACCAATCTCAATGTCAATGCAATTTCAATCAGACGGATCACCTGGTGGTAAGCAATCGGCGTCGCCCATGGACACCTGGAACACCAGAGGCGTTACAAGTGCTTTACGGCATTTTGGGGATTAGGAGTTTGAGGATCGTTGGGGATTCAGGAATTGGGGAGATTGGGGAAGGGGAGGGTTATTGGGCTTCCAGTAACCTCACTCACACGACGAAACACAACGCAAGCGTTGCTTCACGTCGGTTTTCTGTGAGGCCGTGGTATCACTCCGGTCGAGCAGGCCCATTCGTGCCGAAGCAGGGCTCTCCCACACTTTAAATGTCCATTCTAAACTACATCTGTCCATTCATCATTCATTGATTACATTCAATAACAATAAGTCAGTAGTTTGTGTACAGAGCACAGTAAGTTCCCAATACACCGGAATTCATACATATACTAGCAATAGTAGCAACTGAGACAATAAGCGGATCTATCTTGTTGCCAGATTGTGATAGTGAAGAACCGAGGCTGGTCTGAAGGACGGCTACTGATGTTCCGTCAATGAGGTATTCTGCTTTGTGGTCTAATATGTTATATAGATTTAAGGTATAGGCAGAATTAGATGAGTTACGTATTGATGTAATGAGTAAAGGTGGATGATCGATTTGGTTTTAAAGGTGTAGCCAATGGTAGCCTATCTTTGTAATATAGGAAATGCTCAGACGACCACAACTGGACATTGGTATCGCTAATAGTACTCTGAGCTGGAGCAGTGTGCTTCTGCAATATGTGCATGTTATAAGGGTTTTTATAAGAAACTGCACTATTGTGCTGGTTGCGAGATATTGGTAGTTATTGATTAGTAGGGCTATAACAATATTTTTATTATAACCATTATGGTCGTTTGAAACTTAATAAGTTATAATTCCGTGTTGTCGAAGTTCTAAATTGGTCAATTACCTCCACTAGTAAATAAATTAAGTAGTTCCAGTCTATAATAGACTAGACTAGAAGGCTATATAGCTTACATGGTTTATCAAAGCAAGGTGAAGCTTTCTATGCTCCACAGAACCACAAACGAACAATATAAATTATTTTTCACACATTTCGGAAGGAGATTTCAGAAAAGGTAAGAAATTGGAAACTTCAACTAATAAAACTCGGTATTTTAACTTCCTTTAGTCTATGCAAACTGAACAGTAACGAACTAAACATGAGAATTTATAAAGCAAACTACTCACCCTATATAAAATATATAAAAAAAACCCTACAACAGCAAAAATCAATACTTATACCAAAAATAAGTTCTGGTCCTTCTATGCTTAACTTCATATTGTATCAAACTAGAGGTCTCGGTCCTTCATACCAGTAGGTAAGTAAGTACAGAAATCGAAAGGTTCACGAGAGCGAGGTCACATACATTGTTAATGCTCTTCCTAATGCTATGGAAACAATTATAAAAATACATATTTATTTTTTTCTCGTTGCGACACTGCAGGGCTCCAACCGAAAACCAGTATTGAGTGTTATGCTGAACATATGCTTAACATAATGCTGAGGTGAAGGCTCGATATGGGCATGCTCGGAGACAATTTTTATGTTTAATATTCTCCTGTTTAATATAGTTTCTTCTTTTTCTGTTATATCTTATTTTTACTATTATTATTTTATTTTTGTAATGTCTGTTATTTTTGTCTACATCTCTGTGCATGTAATGTGCCGAATAAATGTTTTTTTTTCTTTAATATTATTGTTGAAACTTTATTAGTATGTACAAACTAATTCCGCGTTTTCGCCAGCTCTGCTCGGCTCGTAGTTATTGTATCGTGATGTTTCATAATCTTATAATCTTCCTCGATAAATGGACTATCCAACACAAAAATAAGTTTTCAAATCGGACCAGTGGTTCCTGAGATTATCGCGTTCAAACAAACAAACAAACAAATTCTTCATGTTCATATACTAGCAGGTATAGGTATTAAATGATTATTCAGACTGTCCTTCCATTGATTAAAAAAACCTCGATGATTATTTTTTAGTTATCAATCTAGATCTAATTCGGTTCAGTAAGTGTGATTTGGTTTGAACAGGTGTCAATTATTAAGAAACTGTTCATCTTTGAAATTGACAAAAGTGGTGTAATACTAACTGTAGAACATAACATGACGCCTTTTATCTCCGAAGGTGTAAGCAGAGGTGTACATTATGGCACTTGGCCACTTGTACAATGTAACACCCACTTTTCACTATTTATGTTATGAGTCCCATGTAATAGGGGGTGAGCCTATTGCCATATACCGGACATGTTTCCAGACTCCCTGCTACTAAGATTTTTTTAAAACCCTGTTTGTAATACTTTGCCCGACCCGGGAATCGAACCTGAGACGCCTTGCCCAGTCAGTCGCACTTGAGACTACTCGACTAATGAGGCACTAACTATAGCTACAAACAGAATTACAAGCCTTAAAAAGAACTCAAACCAAGAATAAGCAAATCTTAAATTGCTGTGTTATGTTTTTGTGTCATAATTTTTTTCACTGAGTATTTTTTTTTCTTACCTATGTTGTAACAAAACATCCTAACATTACCATATAAGGCAAAAGACGTTTACTAAGGGTTTTTAGGTTACAGGTCAAATGTCAGGTCAACTGAACTGCTTTAGTAACATTTCGTGCTAAACGAACGATAGTTTCGTACCAGATAGTTAAAAAAAAAAGAAAACCGAATACGTTGGTAGCAATTTCATGAAAAAAAAAAATTAATGTTTATTAATCAAAGTTTTTTAAAAAAACCTTTCGCTTAGTATCACGAAATTAATTGGTAAAAATAAATTTTGAAGTAGTTTAAAATATGAGTAACTTAAATTAAAAAAAAATGTATAAGTTTGCTTTACTTTACTGTAAAAATATACTGAAAAATTCGCATTAAAATAAAATAAAATGTAACAAAACACTACATACCTTTTAAAACTCCCTCAGCTCCCAGCTTAAAAAACACAATAGTCCAAAAAAAAGAAATAAAAATAAAAATTATTCTCTTTTACACAAAACACCGCTCGTATTTAACGTTCCGTTTTTAAATTCCCGCGCGTGTATATTTCGCGCCGGTCGCGTGCTTACTGCGCATGCACTAGAGATGTCAAATGCGTACAACCGCGACTGTCAATTGTTGTCTGTGGAGCTTGCGCGATTCTATAAATATAGTGAAGTGATAAGTCAGTTCGGCGTTAAATTAGCATGACTGAATAGGTAGCTAAGTTTTTGTTGTATAGTTATTGGCTACGCAGCACCTTGGACCGTTAGGTATATGCTAGTACTTTGTGTAGGTTACCATAATAAATTGCAGTAGGTCTTTGCAGTAGGCACAGGCTTTGTGCATATTGTTTGGGTACATATATATTTTATTAAGCCATACAGTACATTAGTTATACGGCACACTATAAACATAATTATACTGTGATGTAAAAATGTACGAGAGAAAAAATCAAAGTAATAGTATTAAATGACAATGACCAAATTTGTATGGAGCGTGGTGCCTTTTAATTTTTTCGCGGCAGTTGATCGGATGTGGAAAAACTGATGCAGAATAACATTACAAACAAAAAAATATATGGGGTCTTATATCAAAAACACAGTCCAAATCGAGTTAAATCAGTTCAAAGATGTGAAAATAGTGCTATATTATCCCTACGCATATTACACACATTACGTACACAACGCATATTTCTTCATTTACTTGTCAAAAATATTTTGTAATAACTGTTTATAAACGATTTCAAGGAATATAATAAAGCTTATTGTGGACTTTTTTACTTATTTTTTTTTTTGTTTTTTTTTTTTTTTGTTATAAGGCCACTGAAACAGAACAGAGTGAATCATTAACTGACCACTGGTGAAGAAAAAGGAACATTTCGCTTGATTGGCTAGTGTGTTCAATTTATAAGTATACGGTTTATGGCCAATGACAGATGTTCATGATCAATTTCCTCTCAGTCAAAAACCCGCAAAATATTTTACTGAGCCCTATCATGAAATGCTATGTTTGTCAGCTGCGGCGTCGGTAGCGGATTGAATAGGGCTGATCACTTTAAAAGTCGACAGTTTTCTTTCTTCAAAAGATTATGCTAACTATTAAGTAGATGAGTGTCCCACCAGGAGTCAATGGCAAAAAAAAAATACTTTATTAGATGTTTGGACGGCTACCACTACTCAACCTACCACTGGTACCACAGCTGACGCTCATGAAGCTTCATGACACAACTCCTAGAAGCATTCCACAAGTTATCGACTGAGAGAAAATAGGTAATAAAAATTAGTGCCTGGCAATATGAATATATTGTGGTGTGATATGGTTTTCCTGTGCCCGGAGTACAGTAGCGCGCAATTTGAAGTTATAAATTGTGACAAAACTATGAATAATTTGAATAAAAAAACCGAAGTAAAATGTTTGACTACAGCTCCTTTCAACGCTCATAACTCAGTCCAGACTGAGATTTCCATATATAAGCCCATAGACAATTTCGTTTGTAATGTCATTCTAGATAATATTTTCCATAAATCATCGACTGCCGCCAGAAAAAAGAAAGGCACCAATTTTAATCAATGCCCAAATCCCAGATCTCGGACTGGTATAGATGGTACATACCAGTGACTGGTAGATACCAGTGTCATGAGCTACGGGTGCCTCAAAATAACTACAAGGCATAACTAAAAGATACAACAGATTTTATTTGCATCAAATCGAATCAAAGCTGCGACATTGTCACACGTTGCGCTTGCGACCTTTTCGTTATTAATTTCCTTAAATTTTCCTCGTACAGCCTACTGTTTTTCAATAAACATATTTTTTGCATAAAAAGCAGTTCCATTAGATTAAGCAGATGATCTTCAATCGGATGGACGATGCGCTCAAGGCGAAGGTTACCCATAAAATACAAAAAATAGGCCTTCAACTTGATTTATAGTTTTTACAACCTTTGATAAATGCGTAATACAAAGTACTTACCTTTTTTTAAAGCTAAAGTTCGTTAAATGATTTCTCCCGCCTTCGGTGAGGCGAGAGGGAGTATCAGTCTTTTACTGACTAAATCCACCCCATACTTACTCCTGCTTCGAGCTGGTTCCCCAGTATCCTTGCGGCCCTGCTGAGGCTCTACAATTATAATTTACTAGCCCGTATTCCAGATTACAGACTATAATCTTCCCCTGTTTCAAAGTTCAAGCCGATCCGTTCTGCCGTTTTGACGTGAAGGAGTAACAAACAAACAAACAAACAAACACAAATGCGGAAAGCATTCATAATAATAGTACCATGTTGCCCATTTTAACTAGAAACTTAAACTATAAAGACGTCGTTTAGTCCAATCCAATTATTATTACCATCGTATGTAGACTGACATATTCAAAGATGTCGTGCCCAGATTCTTACCCAAGGTGTTGCACGTGGTGAAATGAGCACGTTATAGTGATGTGGTACTTCAGGCAATAAATCTCGAATCGTGAGCCAGTCCACAGCTGACAGCGCTGCATGCTACACGTCTCACTTTAAGGAGCACTTTATAAACCAAATCAAGTTGATCTTAAGTTTAAGTGACGTTGAAGTCTTACTGGAAATTGTACTACCTCACTCCTGTAGTTTTACTTATACCATGGAGTCTAATAAGGCATATGGTATAATGGTACTGTAGTTTGAAATACTCGTTAGTCGAGTCGCAAAAGCAATAGTCAAAAGCTTATTAGGTTTGATTTACGGGTTGGGCAAGTTGCATTTATCGGACTCTTTAATTTTCAATATTCTTCCTCTTATATGAAGGCTATATTGTAATGCAATGATCCGTCTGTCTGCTCGTTTGCCTCCTATTCCATAAAAAAACACTTATAGTAAAATATATTCCCTCTTTGTATCTGTCTTTCATTAAAAGATTATTTTAAGAATAATCGTCGTTTATATATTATGTATTATTTAATAATAGACAGAACATAAAGACATTTTACTCTATTAAACTAAATAGTTCAAATTCATCTGTCAATCTTAGAGTTATGTATCAGTAGAGATACGGTGGAGATAAACCAAATCAGTAATCGTGACATTTAATAGTTAAGCCTTCAGTTATATAACTAACTAGTCAGATAATATAGACTTAGAAAGTTTTAATATTGATACTAAAGTTTAATGATTATAATAACTGCTAATAAAAATATAAATTCCAATAGGTAAATTATTATGTTTTCGACTTACTCACGTAATTATTTGACGAGGAACTCGACTAGTGTGGCTTGAAACTAGTATGTCTCACGAATGTTATAATACAAATATAAGAGCATAGGTAATAATATTTTATGTACTAGCAGTTATTATTTTGATTGTACCTATGTTATATAAATAGTGGATGATAAAGTTAGCATTATTAAAATTTACCTTTTAATGGGATAACTGGTAAACGAGCAGACGGATCACCTGATGGTGAGCAATCGGCGTCGCCCATGATCATCTGAAACACCAGAGGCGTTACAAGTCAAGTGCGTTACCGGCCTTTTGGGAATTACGAATTTGAGGGTTGTTGGGGATTCAGGGATCGAGGAGATTGCGAAAGGGGGAGGGGAGTTGAGGTATTATAATTTTACAGTGTAAAGTAGGATTTAACAAGATAACCATAAAATTGAAGTGTCCACTGTCCATATTCAGTGCTACTAATGCCTATACGCTAAATTATTTTTATTATTATTTGAAAAGTATCCGTTTTTTGGCATTATGTCGCAAATGACTGCGAAATAAAGGACTGATTAATTAGTTCATACATGGAAAGTAATATTACAAAAGCTTTCTGAGAATTTAGTGGTCGGTTTTTTGACTTTCTAATTAAACGAAGTTGGTAATAAGCAATGGCAAGTAAGTAGGAAATCATAAAAATTAATGTAAGTGTTACAATTTTGTCAAAAAGTTTAAAACAACATTAAAATCAATGATATCCGTCAAATATCAGAAAAGTTTAGCTATTATCGTAAAGGTATGTAAATTATTGCATTCTGTCTGCCTCATTCTCCGAGTGGTCGCAAGTGCCACTGCCAGGCAATGGGTCTCGGGTTCGATTCCCGGGTCAGGCAAAGTATTACTGGGTTTTTCAAAAAAAATCACAATAGTAGCACGGAGTCTGGAATTGTGCCCGGTGTCTGCCAATAGGCTCACCCCTATTACATGGGTCTCGTAACATAAATAATTATAAGTGGGCCTAACATTTTACAGTGGTATAATGTACACCTCTTTTATCCCCGAAGGGGTAGGCAGAGGTGCACATTACGGAACTTAATGCCACTGTACAATGTAACACCCACTTTTCACTATTTATGTTATGAGTCCTGTGTAATAGGGGTGAGCCTATTGCCATACCGGGCACAATTTCAGACTCCGTGGTACTACTGAGATTTTTTTTAAAACCCAGTATTATTTTGCCCGACCCGGGAATCGAACCTGAGACTCTTTGCCCGGCAGTCGCACTTGCAACCACTTGGCTAACGGGGCAGAGAGTTATTTATTCACTAATACAATTTCTTTTATAAGCAAAGCTAGGTTCTCAAATATAATGACATCACATATCAGTGGCACTCCCTACAGGGTACAACTGTAGTCCACTTCTGTCCCCATAAAGCGGCCCTTTCTACGTAATTATCGAGTGATAAGCTGCGCACACGCCGCGCAGGTGTGATCCATGCAACTTTCCACGTTACGTCATATGTGACCTAAGTATGGATAGCAGGAATCATAGATCCCTCCTCCCTTGATATTAGGTAATTGGTGCTGCAAATTGTTCATTTTCAAGCAGATATCTACTTAGTGGTAGCTGCATCTAGTACAGGATCTCCTGATGGTACGTTACGAGTATCGTCTCCAGAAACCCACAAAACCAGAATTGCTAATAATAGGGTAGATGCCTAATTTTCATTTTAATGTCCGTCTGGTAGATTATTTTAAATCATTAGACACGTATTTGTTTTTCTTACAGAAACGAATACTTTCGACGATATATTGTTTTGAAATGTCGCGTGACGTCACTTCTATGTACATTTTGTACGTAGAAATTACGTTTTAGCCCCCACTCCTATACTTTGATTCGTTTTATCTACGTATTGTTTTATTATACAAGAAAATAAAAAA